CCCTCAAGATGGTCTAGTATAGCCTAGTACGAATACTAGGGATTACTAAGGCCTGACAGGAATACTAGGGACAATAAGGATACCAGTTACATTAGGGAAACTAGAGAGTGCTAGGAACTATCAGGAGGCTGGAGTGAGCTTGTGGTTGAATCTATTGCACCAGCAAAGGGCTCATCATCCCGATGTGTATCAGAGCAGAGCTATTGGCTATATTAGTTCCTACTAGACCCCAGCACTACCTACTAGATCCTACTAATCCGTACTAGACTCGAGTAGTACCTAGTAGATCATGAAAATCTTTTCTACAAACTTATACTAATTACATAAAGATATATGTACACATGCATCTATGCATATCTATAAAATCTGTTGATACATAACATACGCGTATCATATATACAGTGTATGAAAGTTTTGAATTACTTTGTAATTCATTTCCGGCATCAACTTATATTACAGTTTGATCTAGTTGATAGATTCCTAAGGCACATGACTAAGTTAGGCTATAAAGAAGTGACCTATTGATCTTCATGATTATAAAATCGTTTATGCTATTGTAAAAGTAACTCTATGAATATACTGCTCGTGATACGTAATATACAGCTAGTAGGAGAATTTACGAACCGTTTTGTTCGATATGTGTATTAGTTCTTTTGCAACCAATGTAAGAAAGAAAAAGAATTTTTTCTCTCCAATATACCTTTCCTAAATAGTCGTAGTTGTACTTACCGAGGGGAATTCGTGTTCCATCCATAACAATCATAGTAATAGTGTCCATATTGACCACCAGATTGCCATTTTGATTTGACATATCAGCAAATAATTCACAATTAGACGATGATTTGTGAAAACTAATTGCTTTACAATGGGCTTCAGCTAAACAAGCTATTTGACACTGGCGGATATTCGACATAGAGATAGTGGCAAATGGTAAGCAAGTTGTGTTAGAACATTGGAATTGCCAACTAGACATTTCAGATAAATAAAATGAGCGTACATTTTGTGTGTCTGATTGTGTAACAAGAAAAAGCAGAAGAAATAAAACATTTCTTCTCCACCCCATCACCAACAAGGATGTTGGTTGAGAGAAGAATTTCACTTCAAATGAAATGCATTGTGAGAACATAGCATTAAATACCATTTCAGTTTTTCTTCCTCTTTTTCTTTTTTCTCTCTTTCTTTTTCTTTTTTTTCCCAGTCTCTCTCTCTATCTCTCTCTATTTTTTTCTTTTTTTCTTCCCACATTACAAATATTTTTTTATTTCATCAATATGATGAAAAACTAGTCACGACTTTTTTGTCACGGTTGCGTAGCAGAGCTTCACTTTGAAATATCATGCATTTAGAAAGATGATTGTTTTTCGTAGTTGATGTGCAGGCGGAAAACAAAAATACGTATATCTTAAAATCTTGTTTTATGAAGAAACAATGATCACTTCGTTTGTTTATAATATGAGATCACTTTATATTAATTTTAATTCCATTTGTCAACATGAGAAACATTTTATGAAATAAACCAATTAAATGAAACTAGTTTTCACCACTCTAAACTAACTTCAATAATTGTTCATCTCTAAAAAAAATCTTTGCGCAACGTTGTTCGTCTGTTATAATCAGAATAATGAAAACTACAACGTTAAAGAAAGCAGTGTATTACAAAAAAAAGATGGTAACAAATATCTACTGATGTTGGAAAAAAACACCATTACTATGTCGTTAGAAAAATTAACAATAATGTTTATGACGTCTTCACTTTCTTTATACATTTAGTTTAGAAAAATTAATGTTAATACTCTTTAGAACTTTGAATAAAGTGTATATCATTGTGATATGTTGTGTTTTTTTCATCAGTTTCTGAATCTGCAAGATCTAGACTAGTGAGATAATTCTGGAACCATTTCTTCATATTACAATTATGTCTTTTTATTTTCACACATCATAGATAGTTTTTTAATTCATCAATGCAATGGAAAACCAGTCATGGATTTCTTCTTTTGTCAGGGATGCCTATCAGAGCTTCACTTTGAAATATTATGTATTTACAATGATGAGTTTTTTTCGTAGTTAAGTTGCAGACAGAGAACAAACAAACATGCATCTGACGATCGTGATTCATACATAAAAAATCAGTTTATTAGTTTATAATATGAGACCACTTTATATTAAATTCAATTTCATATGTCAACATAAGTAACACTTTATCCAATAAATCAATTAAGTGAAACTACTTTTCAGCACTCTACAGTAACTTAAATAATTGTTCATTTTCACAAATAATCAGACATTTTTCTCCGAATGAAATATATCTCGTTCAATAGAATAGCATCTGTTCTTTTTTTTCAGTGCTATGTTGCTATAATAGAAAATGTGTATACAAAACAAAAGTTCTTTCAAGATAATTTGATTTTCTTAATAAAGAAACGTTAGAAAAAAACACTTTGTGCAACGTTGTTCTTCTGTTATAATCAGAATGATGGAAACTACATCGTCAAAGAAAACTGCATTGAAAAAAGGAGGATAAAAAATTTGCGTTGGCTGTAGAAAAAAATGCATCGTCACTATACCATTTTGAAAATTAACAACAACATATATGACGTCTTTACTTTCTTTATACATTTTGTTTAGTAAAATTAATGCAAATACTCTTTAGAGTTTTGAATATATTGTACATCATCGTGATATGTTTTGTTTTATTCTCCATTTTCTAAATCCATAAGATCTAAACTTGTGAGGAAATTCTTGAAACCTTCCTCTATATTACAACTATGAGAAACAATAAACACAGAACATCTACATTCGGAATTTAGAGAATAAAAGGCATCCACAATACTCACAAAAATTTAACCATCTAGAAAAGTTATATAATCTATGCACACAAAGGATTTTGAGAGCTTTAGAAACACAAAACACCAACGTCGTTCTTAATTTTTCAAATCAACAAGAATATTTCTGAATAAATAAATATACATATATCAGAAATAATAAATTTTTTAACAGCAGACATTTCGAATTTTTTTCTTTTTTATCAAACTAGTTTGCAAATGGTGATGTAGTTTTATAATAAGTTTTATGAAGATGTTACATTATAATTGAAGACAAAAAATCGTTAAAAAATATAGATTTATTTTCATAATAAATACTATGAAGATATCACATCACAATGACATACAAAAAACTTGTAGAAATATAGAAAAAAATTCAGGGAACAGTTCAACAAACATGAAAGGAGAAAGAAAAAAAAGCTTGTTGTTGAAGAAGGATGGGTCACAATGAATAAATGACAATATACAACGAAAAACCTATGTGATAAGATTTTTTCATGAAATAGGAGAAACCTTCTAAACTTACTTGACAGATACTTTTCATAGAATAATTGGGATACTCATTGAGTTGAAATAGAAAATATTCTTTCGACCATAATTCAAAACTGTTCATCGTAATAAACTATATTAAGAACACTAAAAATCTAATTCATAGTTGAATCGACTTTTTTACCCTAAAGAACTACTCATAACTAAAGTTTTCATATATGATAAATTGTAGTTTCTATATAAAACATCATTTTATTCATAATCGACTTCTATCGGTATTGTTTTTGAACCATTGTTACTATTCTTGAATCATTATTCGATGATTTTTGTTTAATCCAAAAATTTATTTTTAATTGAATACAATAGATCATTCGTTCTAGAAAATAAACTTATTTGTAACAATCATATAAATCAGACATAATAAATCTTTTGGTATTGCCCAGGTCGAACAATCCGGTTCGGAAATAATCGATTCCAGATAATTCCAGAGATTTCATGAAAGCAGTATTCTGGTGAACTGATCCGGTCATCGGATTCCTGCCGGAAATTCACGGAATACTGCGTCAGGTACCATCGTCCTGGGATTGTGTTGAAAGTATTGACACACTCTTATGAACAATATTAAAAAGAGATTTTTCTTTTAATTAATCAACGAACAATATTTTCAAGAGCAAGAAATTATGATAGTCATTAATTGATATTCACGTGTGACTAAGTAAATTCGAAAACAAGTAATTTGTTAATATTTTAATTATGAATTTATCAAATATAGATATAATCATTTATTACATATCTTCAATAAACAAATTCAAAAATAACCACTTACTCATTATACTGCATTACAAATGATTATAAAATGACTTTTTTCTAATTGTGTTTTATAGATATGAATAATTTACTCAAACTTTATCATTCTCTTATCATCAATAATTATCTAAATTATTAAAAGATAAACTACATAAGAATTTTAAGAGGAAGTATTGAATATAGGCTTACTGGAATAAAAGAAGATTAACTATTAATAAAATAGTTACAATATAGACTCACTTTGATTTCGATTTAATCTTCTCAAAACAATCAATCAGTGGAATCTGTTCTCTCGTGAGCTGCACATAAATTACAAACGGGTTCTTGATAATTATGTTTGAGAATTCAAATATTGCTGCATTTCTTTGCTAGAGTAAATATAAGAGTATCATTGATGATCGATAAATAACATATCCTTCTCTATTCATATAGTTATTCTTGAACTTACCAGCTATTCCTAGTTTTTTAGTTCTTAAACATACCTCATGGTTTCCATAAACATCACTATAAAACTGAGTGCCTTTTTTGATACATATCCCTATCAATTAAACGCTATTGTATCGCTGCAGAAACAATAACTACAGATTGACAACTTGAATTTCTTTTTCAAAGCTATCATCATCAAATTAAACTCATACATATTCATTTTACCTTAATTTTCATACGATATACGTTTTCCTTTGGCAAGTAATCGCAATTACTACAACTAAATGCTATCAAAAAACTACTCTTTTATCTGTCCCTTACAAATATTAATTTGCCTAGATATTCAAACAACGCTCTATCAATTGCCTTGTTTATTTTTGAAATAACATACAAATACCATAATATTCCGTCTGTCAAATAATCATACTACAGTCCCGATTCCTCGTCTGCTGCAACCTAGTTACACCGGCAGACACCAACAGCAATAGTAAAAGCAGCATCAAAAATTTGAAAATGCATAGTACGATTGCAAGTGACACCATCACGACTGATATAATCTTTCTTATCTTTGTCATAATACAAATCAGAACATTTACCACATTGTGCACAAGCTCGACCTCCACAACGAAGTTTACTCTGAGGAAGTGGTTTAGTTACTTGTAGGCTTTCTAAATGAAAATATATATTAATTTTTAACATTTGACACATACAGCAAGACTGCTCATTGCTCTACTCAGAAACAACATATTTTATTTATAAATTCTTTTACAATTGAATAACTGTGTTATTATAAAGGCGAGATCAAACTATACGATTTTAGCTGATAGAAATGAAAAAACTTGTTGGAGTCATTTGAGAGATATTATCAGTTGTTCTGCTAGTGGAACAAAAAGATGTCATACTTGTTTCTGTTTGAATAAATTTATTAATCAATAATAAAGGACTTTCAAAGACTATGCAGAACTATTTGGATTGATTCATCGTGCAATCAATAACTGATGATATTCAATAACTCAACGAAAAGTCTAGCAAGTAAATGCTCACTTGTTAAACATTAACTCAAACCTTACTGTGGCCCGTCTCTCATTACTCTAAACAATCTCAATCGTCTACGACTTTGATCCAATTCTCTTACGATAGCTAATTTATAAAATCGTCCACTTATAATTCTAATCATAGATATTATCAATTTATATGTGACAAATATTTTGATAGGAATGAAACTAATCGACCTAAACCTTATTCGTTATTTTGATGAGCCATAGATTTAACGATATTTAATATGAATAAGCTGAGCAAGTTATTCCTGTTCTGTTCAATATACAAAACGATTAATGAAGAGAAACAAATATTAGACATGTATATGAATCTTAATCATTTTCTGATTTATATTTTAGATGATCAACTAAAGTGTCTCGACAATTTTAATATTACTGCACGTAACTATGATCTATATTATCTGCACCTCGAGTCAATGTTTTTTGAAAAATATCATAATGAAAATTTATTCAAATTGGATGTCTGAAACATACCTAATATTCTTTGTGGTGTTTGTTGACGTTCAAATTCGACAGATTTTTCTTGAACATAGATCATACGATTCCATTTTATTCTTTCACTTTCTTCTTTATTTAGTTCAATTGTAGTTGCTTGAGAAAGTTGAGTCAAATCTACATTAAATTGATGGATCCTCTGTTTAAGTTTTGCCAAATCATGTTCAACATAATTCTCAGTTTCTTTCAAATCAGCTAGCTTATCTGAGAAGCCTTTGAATTCACTTGTAATTTTCATAGATACTGAATTCAACAGTTGATTAGCTTGCTGACGCACATATTCAGCTGTTTGTCGCACTTTTTCAATTGTAATCTTCTCCCATTCATTGATTTCTTCAATTAGTGGACTGATTGAGTTGTTTGGTTTTGTTGCTTTGTTAATTTTCTCTTGTAGTTTATTACGCTCTTCAACGAGTTGTTCCATCTCAGTAGATAATATTTTACGATGACCTCTGAAATCTTTTGTACAGAAGTAACCATTACATCCTGTACAATGCATCACTCCTATTGGTTTTCGACAAGTAGAACATTGATTTGCTTCTGTCATTTCTATGAGTATAATACAATAGAATGTCATTTATGAATATTGATTAAAGAAAAGAATCAATTTACCTAATGTATTATAATAGTGAAAAGAATGTATACGATTTAAAAATATTATCGATCTGAAGCTGTCGACATAAGTACAAAATATAAAATCTTATTTTCATAAATATTCATGATAGAAAAATTACAAAGTAATATCATGAAAAAATATATTTCCTATACTTAAAAATAATATCGCAGTAGCGTTGTTTAACATCGCGCAATGATAAAAAAAACTCCTCAAAGATGGAAGAAAGTTTACCTCAGGAGTCTAGGCTTGTTTGACAAGAAGAAATGCCAGTCCAAGTCCAACTGCTACTTTTCTTTAGTAATTTAATAGTACTTACTTTTCTTCGAAAACAATCACTGCAGCAGATATTCTTTAATCTTAACTATTTCTACAATATTTTTTAATTTTGTTTTTTCACTTTCTTGTGAGAAAAAGAACGAAAAGTGAATTTATGATTCGATCAACCAAACAAAAGTAAAAACCAACATAAAATAATTTGATCTTTCGCAACACTTACTAAAGAACAGAGACATGCACTCCATTCGAACGTTGATAAAAAATGCAGACGAAAGAGTTTTTAGAAATGATGTTGAAATAATAGGTAGAAATGAAAAACATTGTATGATTCATTTGAAAGGCATCATGCACAGAGAATTTTCAACTAACTTCACAATGATTATTATGTCATCAAGACACAATATAACAAAACTACGCAATTTTAAACGTAATACCCGAAAAAAATAAACCATCTACTTAACGAATTTTTATGATAGTTATGCTTGAAGAAAGAACGTTTTATTCCTTTGATTTTTCCGTATTAGTCATCAATATTTATCAATAGTTTCAGAAACTGAATTCTTTATTTATAGATTAGCCAAACATGACTTCTTATGTGTTTTGTCTGGTGATATTAAGTAAAATCAAATGTGGTATCTACATTTTGGCAACGTGCGGATCTTGCATATGTTCTTATTTTTTACTTTTGATACGGAAAGCTCAGAGAAACCTTTAAAACATATAAGTAATATTACGTTAAACAGTTCTAAAACTCCCAAAATCTCTTTAGTTCATCCGAAATTCAATAAAAAGTCTGGCATGTTTATAGTAATATATGCGTAAAAGATTTCGATTTGTTAGATACCATATGAGCAAGATTTCAGTTATATGCTTAAACATGTTGTAGTAAACAATGGCAGCTATGCGCGAGGTAGGGAATGATATTTTAATTGCATGTTAATACCTGTAAAATTCGTATGTATTAGAAAAAAGACCGTAGACTCGTATATAGTAATTTATTTAATTTCGATTCTTGATTTTATGAATATTATTATTTTTATATAAAAACAATTACTTAGAAAGAGAAAATTTTCAGATAACAAAACATTTTTCCTTTCGTAATTATTGCAATAAAGGATTAGAATTCAATATCTCAGCCCAAACAGATCACAGACCCGAAGTCTTTTACAGTTGTTCTAACCTATCTGCTTCCTCATAAGGATAGCCACACGAAAAAGACAGACGATAAATACAAAGAACTAAAAGAAAATGGTAACTAATCGTAAATTATGATTGATTTATTATTTCACTAAATAATAACTGAATCAAATATTAAAATATTTGACAACATATGATTCATCTATATCTAAAATAAAAGCAATTCAGTCTCAGAATTACCAAGAAATGCGAGATATTTCTATCGACAATATGCTATCCAAGAATAAATTCAATCATGTTATTCGTTACCATTCGAATAGTTCTCAATTAAGAACAAACTATACTACATCTAGGAAACAAAAGACATAAACTTTCTTACACTCAACATCATCTACTTCAACCTAATATGACTGACCTTTGAATATACATCAACCTTCAATCAATCATATATGCCATCATTTTATAGTTATATTAGTCTCTCATTCCTATGTTATGTTTTACTTGGAAAAATAAAATATTTCATTAATAATGCTGAAGTTTGATTTTATTTTAATACTATATTCAACTCGAATGTATAAATATTTATAAAGTTAATTTTTAGTTTGTTTCTGTTTGTTGTTGTTGCTGTTGTTGTTGATGTGAATGTTTCTCTTTGTTCGAATCCATATTATGATTACCTTGGGCAAAATTTTTATGAATATATAAAAGAAGATCTTTGTTTGATACCATTGCAAGACGTGGATCTACACGCATTTTTTTATAAATTTCATAAAGTTGATCATTAGTTTTTGCCGATTTATTGTCGTCAGAATTATCTGATGATGATGATGATGATTCAGGCAAAGGTTTTGCTTGAATGACAATAATAAAAAATAAAATAAAACCAAGAAGACTGTAGCTATACATGGAAACCATTATGATTAATATGTAGCTGGAATAAAATAGGCGAGCTTCAATCTAAATACTAGAATAAAAACAATTATATTCGTCTAAGAAAATAGACTGAATCGTAGATTAAGAAAATCTAATATTTCTATCGGATAATTATGTAGATTTAGCATATATATATATATGATAGAGAATGTCATTTTTGCTGAGCTTTTTACGTGAACTTATCCTATGTCTGTATTTGATAGAAACTAGAGGGGAAAACTTTTTTTTCAGATTTCTCGGCACGACATAAAGTATTCTTCAATTAATAGTTTCTCATTTTTTTCTGTCTCTTTTGATATTCTCAGTGTAACTGATTATTCAACAACATGTAAAAAATTAACGTCTTTCTTTTTCTTTCTAAACAAAAAAGATTCTTTAGTTCATAGTCAATTCACAAATAATAACATGATACTTCATATTTGTATTAAACGTACCAAATGGCATTAACAGTCGCCGTCGTTTTCTATTTTTTTTCTCTTGAAAATATTTGCTTATAAGATTAATTATCATGAACATTCTTTTAAAGTTATTGAATTAACGACAGATATCATAAACTTCTGAAAATAGAGTTTTTTATTCAATCATCAATCATATTCTATGATTTATTCTGACAAAATAATTTATAAAAATTCGATGTCTTAATAATAAAATGATATTAAATTATATTCTGTAATTAAAATTTTAAAATAGTCGACATTTCGCTACATTACAAGTAATTAGAAGATAAAAAAGAATAATAATTCAATATGCTATGTTAAAAATATTTTATCTATATAAGTAATAGATCTTTTTTCAGTACGATTGCTACTAGGAAAAAAAACTATATTGACTACACAAAGGTCGTTATCGATAGTAATAACCTTATCGTATTATGTAATGAAACTTGCCTGGTAATAATTTTAATTATACGTGAGAAATATACGACGTGAATCGATAATTTTTGATTTTATGATGTGTAGTGATTTTTTTTTATATTACTGTAACATTTATATAGATGAAATGAACAATATTCATACATGATTAAATGAACCCTTAATACTAATAATAACATCCGATTGAGCATAATATTTATACTTGATTTCCTTAATAATGATTAATCAAAATATAAAAATAATAAGAATGACGTCAATTGAGACTAGAAATTCTTTATATTTAGATTATTGCCATTATGTTTTTAATGTGTACCAATATTCATTGAAAGTTTCCGAATAATAAAAAATATATTTCCTTTGTACCTGTTCATGTCTTATAAACTTACATTGTAAAGAATAGATACAAAAAACAAATAGCGAAAGAATATTTTAACCTTCACTATCTATATATGCATATTCATTTTTGAGACACAAAAGCAACAAATATTTCACACTACGATATCAATCATAAAGGTAATCATCATTCAAACATACCATAGCATTCAATGATCAAAAGACCATACATCTTTTCTTTTTTTTTCTAATATACTTCGTTATTGTGTATATGTGCAAGGTAGCCGTCTATACAACGGACTGTAGAAAGATAAGCATCATATTTTTAATTCGAAAAAAAACAAGTTTTATCTTCGATTCGATTTATTCGCTTAGAAAATTATGATAACAATCTCGAATAATATTAAATGAAAAGAAAATGGATTGAATGAATGCATAAAGAAAATGAGGATAACAATTATTTTCTTCTTATGCTTCTTCTTCTTCGTTCATTTTATCATTTGAAACCAATGCATAAATTAAATATTCAAATAGATTAGTACAATAAATCTAATCGATAAATGATATACGAGTATTCTAACAAATAAATTGCATGTGTCGGCTTCTTTCATTTTATCATTCAATTGTAATATGAGATTTAGTTTTAAAAATGTAAAAATGAAATACATTTCAAACTATGATTGAAGCAATGTTTTGTATCATATATTAACATGATTATCTTCTCTATTTCATCGACTCGTCTTTGTTTAAGATAAGAAAAAAAAGAACATACTATATTATTATATATATGTCAACTATTATCTCATAACCAAAAAAAAGAATTATTCTAATGTTCTGTTGTTCATCAGTAATAGAAACAAAAAATAATGATTCATTCTCTTTCCTCTGCTTCTTCTTCTTCTCCTCTTTCTCTTTCTTTTCTATGCTTATTTTTCTTTTCTATGCATCGTTTTTTCTCTCTCAACGTTACTCCTCAAATTACTTTTCTCTCTTGCTCTAAAAACATTTATTCACTCTATCGATAACCACAAATACTATTCTATTGTGGAATTCAAGCTCATTTAACAACGAATATATATATATATATATGTATTAAAGAACGAATAAAACTATTATTGAAAAAAACAAAAATTAACGTTTATCTTTATTCTTCAATATTTATGGTATAAAAATAACGATGCAGTAATTATATACATATAACGATGGGTATAGCTACTTGTTATCCTTGTGCTAAATATCTTCTCTTAGTACTGAATCTTTTCTTCTGGGTATGTAATAAAAAGTTCAATATTAATCGATATATATAGAAAATACAAATGTTATATTTTTAGCTAAGTGGTATTGTTTTAATTTTTTTTGGTATTTATTGTCTTTTACGTCCTGAAGTACAACAAATAATTCATCTATTTAATTTTACTAATTTACCATTATCATCCATTGAAATATTAGCTTGTATTATTATACTCTTTGGTATAATTATTTTTCTTATCGGACTATTTGGATATTGTGGTGCAAAACGAGAATCACGTACTTGTCTCATACTTGTAAGTTATCATTATTTCATCATAAATATTTTGAAAAAAAAATAAAAATGAATATTTTCTCTAGTATATTGTTTTGATAACATCTATTCTTCTGGTTGAATTAGCTTTATTTATATTTATTGCAATGCATTATGAGCAAGGACAATCACTTGTAAAACAACGTCTTGTATCACAAATGAAAAAATATAATCATATGTATCCAAGTCAATACGAAAGAGCGATAGACTATATTCAAAGCAAGGTAAAGATAAAGAAAAAAGAAAGGAAAAGAAACAATTAAATGATTGATGTAAACACTTGGCGTACTTTGATTTCAAAGTTCACAATGTTGAAATTACAATCTATATATTGTTTAGACTTGTAAAAGTAAAAAGGTAATTAGGATTGATAACCTCTACCATCGTTGTCTTCAATACAAAAAATAGAATGAAGTTTCATTTATCTTTGTTTCATACTATCATCATCATTGACAAGATAAATCATTTAATAATAGTCATGATGCAACCTTCTCCTTCTTTCTGTCTTTCTTTCTATATAAACCTTGAGCATTCATCCTTATGGGAATATGAGAAAAGAGTCAATCAGTTTTTTTTAACAAGGATATCTTAAGTACTGATTCCATCTTTATTTATTTTCTAGTATCATTGTTGTGGTGTTGATACAGCTTATGATTACAGTGATTCTCATGTTCCATTATCTTGCTGTTCAATGACTTCAACAGTATCATGTACAGTTCATGAAGTTGGTTTAACTGGTACACCAGGATGTTTGCCTATTTTAACAAGAGCAACATTCTTTTGGGGAAAACTTTTTCTTCTAATTGAATTTAGTTTATGTGTTTTAGCGGTAAGAAAATAAAAAAAAAATATGAAATTTGATTTTTAATAATTTTTATATTTAGTTAATTGGTGTTTTTCTTGCTATATGTGTCTGTCAAAATACAATGTTATATGATGATTATGCTCCAGCACCATATCATATTTAATATTTCTAACAAATTAAAACGTTCTTTTTTTCCTTTTTTTGGTGAATATATTTCAAGTAGATTTTTAAGGACTCTTGTATTAATTTATCTTAAGTGATAAATAAACAAATGTATCTATAGAGATTATGTATACTTATATAATATGAACTTAACAAGTTTGACCAAGGACAATTTTTTTATTTAAACTCTCTCGATGATCATTTTATGTTCTGAATAGGATTTATTAAAAAAGAAGTGCTATCTATTTTTCTGTAGTTGTTCCCAATGGATAATGTTGAATGACATCCAAGGTTAAGTGTCATACGTAATTTCCTGGTATAACGTCCTTGTCGTATTCAACCGGATACGAAGATAAAAATTTCCGATTTCACGATGGTAGATACCAAAAAAACATAATTATCTAGATCTTTTTTCTTAATTATAATTTGTATTTATTCGAACTTATGTTATTTCATCTAAATACTTCCAACTTGTCAAGGACATACGATTATATCATTAATAATTGACTTATTGTTCCCACTTCTAATGACATCATTGACAATATATAACAACAGAGAGAAACTATTTCATTGTGTTTTTTGTTCTATTCATATATAATTACTGTCAAATAATCAGTCCTTCGAATAGACAAAAGTCTTTTCACTTTCATAATATAGATGATATAAAATGTTATTAACTGAAATAACATTAGATCATATTAATTTGATTAATCATTCATAGCCACCATTAATAGAATATCGATTGTATTTTATACTGTAATAAATCTAATGTAAATACAAAGTGTAATATATTAAAATAATAGAAACTGATTGATTCTTGCTTCTCAAATTCTTATCTTATTATATAAATAAATCATCTATTGATGGTTATCTCGAAAAAAGACTTTTTGTTTTATCAAACAGCTGTGTTCTAAAAAAACATTTATTAAGTGATTCTGTTTTAAACATTCGAAAACATATTTATTTATACATAACAATTGGCTTACAATATTTTACATTACAATAAAAATAATAAATCATTTATCTCTAAGTACATTTATATAAAGTTACTTACCAATAAGTTTTTTTTTCTTCAATATCATCCAATTTTATAACTAATATTTACATCTTAGTGTGACTATATAACTTTTACAGAATGTTATAAACTAATGAGCATATTTACATATTACTGTATAAATTACCCCCAAAAGTGAAATATAACTCGAGAATAATTCAATGTTAGTAGCCCCAGGATACTCGGCATATTCTCCTTGTAAGAGAGGCAGATCAATATGAAGGAAATAGAAGTAATAATACTCGTGTAACGATATGCGCTGAGAGTTATGTATTACATTAGACGAAGCTAGCTAGCGAATCATGCAGCCATGTGCTGATATAATTTTTTGTCACATAACCCTGCTATGGGGTCGATATGCTTCTTGCAATAGTGAATTAGGTTACATAAACAAGAGCGTTAATCGTACTTGAGTCTTAATTGAAGGCAAAAAATGAATAAATACATGGATCCAATACATTAAAAGTGTCATTGTATATAAATGCATATATATTGAACAATGAAGTATTTTTAGATCATTCAATTTCTATCGTTTTTATAGATTGAACGCAATATTGTAAAAATAACAATAATAAAATCATATTGTTATCTTTTGTGATCCTCGCATATGAAGATTTTCAAAGTATATACGAAATTTTATTTCATACTTCTTACTTGCGATAATAAATAGCTGATTTTTGATCGAATATAATTCTAGATTTGTTGATAAAAATCTTTATTTTATCGTTATAACTATTAAATACGTATCGATAATCGATTGAATTATAATATTAATTCGTAGAACTTGTATGTGATAATTAGAGACCTTGAGTTTATTTCTGACTCATTTTTTGTTCTCTTTATATTATTATTCAAAGACATAAAATGGTATGTATGTAAATTTATCATTGGCATATTTGTTTTAACATAATATTGCGCTAGAAAAGAGATACATTCTTTATCTTTTCTAATGATTTATTGTTCACAAGAAAAATTTTCATAAAATAAATCAGTCAATAAACTTCAACGTCTTTTTGATTTGTTTGCATAACAAATAAATACAGTGAGATAATGTGTCTATGTTTATGTGTACTGTTTTTTAACGATATTTGAGCTTTCATAGCTAATGGACTTCAACAACTATTTTGAGTCATTGCGTAAAGCACCGGAAAAAATCTGAGCAACACAATTTTCGGAGAACAATGTTGGTAAGAGTCATATAAGATTACATACTATATATTGTACTATAGTAAGGAAATTGATAATATCGAACTATAGAGCAAGAGTTTTACTAATATATTTTTCTTCTTTCAATATTTATAGGGCTTATAGAATATTATCGACTATGGACATTCATTGCTTCAAGTACTTGATTGGAAAAAAAGACGATATGATAATTAACAAAAACATAATTTTCAATCAATATTAGTCAATTGAGAAAAAAGAAGTTTTATTCTTTCGACACAAAATGATACAACTTTATAATTCAGAATAACTAAACAATCGAACACTAAAACAAAAATGATCTTTTATAATTCTAATGGTCGATAATATATAGTAAAGATATTGCTTAACAAATTATATATACAGTTCATGTATATCTAATAGAACGCATAAAAATAACAAATGTCACGTTTTGTATATTTACCGTTGTAATTATAGAATCGAATCATAACTCTGTTTGTTGCAATACGAGACATTGATTACTATTGATATCTTATTTATTCTTCTATCATTTTTATATACTACACAATTCTAAATGTTTTCTTTGTTTACTAATTATATAATATCTTGCATTTTATTTCATTGTGTAATATCAAAATAAGTCTGATTTATAAGAGAAGACATCTTTCGATTACATGTATAATTGTCTGTTTTTGATCTAATTTGTATAGATGATTTTTCAAATAGCACATTTTCTTCTGCATTCGTTTGATCGTTATAATGATACTTACATTTATTGAATAGTTTTATTGATAAAAATAATCATAGTTAGCTGTGGAATGTTTTCAACTAAATAGAATCTATTTCGATTATTAGATTATCATACTCATCGACAAATAAATTTAGTATAAATGAATTTGAATCTTTCAATACAACGTACTTTTTGAACCCTACCATCGATTCTAAGCAAAACAAAGTCTTAGTAGGCCTCGAAAATTTTATTACAGAGATTAGTAATATTGTGATTTTTTATTCATTCCGTAATGAATAATTATAAAGCGTTAGTATCGGCACATGTCGCTAAAGTTTTCATTATTCTTTCGTTGTTAGTTGTTCGTTATCCTCTTATCTTTTACATATAGTGTATAATATAATATTTGTCCTTTCTCGCTTTCTACACATATACATGTGTATAGGAGTACATTTTCCCCACTTTCATATACTACAATATAAGTCTAGTGTTTATCTCAATTGTTTCCACTGATTTAATACAATAATATTTTTATTATGTTTATATAGATTAAACTAGAGAATTATATACATTAAACCTCCATATGCATATTACGATTGTTCGAATTTTATGAGAAATTTTTGTGATCAGAATGATAATTAAATTATAAAAGTATATTGTATCACAAACAATCAAAATATAATCTTTATAATGACGCTTCAGTCACATGTAGTACACTTGATAACTATATTATGCTTTAATCGGCACATACGTTTCGGTTTATCACACAAAAAGATATTATGACTCAATCAACGCCAGAACCGTGGTATTCATTCGGTAGCAAAATTTTTTCAGTCGTTTTCTATTACTATTCCACAAAGTAAGAACAACATTATGAAACAATCAAGCACGTGTAATTCAATCGTAGTCAGTTACATAGGAGACGTGAATTCTAAAATTAATCAAGAAGAAATAAAAAATATTGTTACCTTTTTGCACACTACTATTTACAATCGTGGCCACATATACTTCCGCTGCAAATATACTAGTTCAACTTAATGATATTACGATTAATTGATAACATACGTTGATAATTTTCAAAATGTAGAACATCATATAAAGTATTAATGGAAATAATGATAATAATGTTATTAAAAATTTCAAAGGAAAACTCGTCATATCGACAACAGGCATATCGCATTTACAGCTCGACGTCAAAAATCAATCTTTCTATTTCAGCCCATATGAAAAAAATTTATTAGGTCCTGTACGATTATTGATTCATCGCATCATTTTAATTGTCATATCTGATAAGCAAAATTATAGGTTCGCAACAAAACACTAAATATCCTAATGTATGGATGAATTGACTCTGGCTATTTTCCGATACAGTTTAATTAAAAATCTACATTTTCTAACTACCTTATGTACAACAATAAGCATTTTATTCAATTATTTTATGATATAATATCGTATCTAGATCATGATTGAATTAATTGTAAACTTAATTACTAAACGTTTTCAAAAGAAAAACTGTCTTTTCTCCTGTATTCTGTAGCTAAATATATATATATATATAAATAAAGTATAAACTATACAATGATTTATTACATGTATTAATCATACTGAACATCGTCTTACAGCAAAACTAACTTGAACCGAGTTAGGTGAGTCATATGCTCTCATTGTTTTGTTTCTTTCTTCACGATTTTGTTTTTTCCATTTAGCACGTTTTTTTCTCGCTTGTTTCCAATCACTAAATGTTTCCATACAAGTACAAGAACAAACAGATGTTTGACTTGAATGTATTAATATTTGTTGTTGATTTGGTGTTCTTCCAGATACTAGCGATGCTGTTGTTGATCGTTGTTTATTTATATTTGTTGAACAAATAACATCGCCTTTAAGAAGTACAGCATGACTAGCTGCTTCTTCTTCTCGAAGTTTTTCAAGTAAACGTTCTTGAGAATAAAATGCAACAATACGTATAACAAGTAAATTCATCAATGATGCTACAACAGTTAAACCAAAAAATATAAATCCCATACAGAAAGAAAAGTATTTAACATGACGAATAAATGTTCTATCGTTGCCCGTTTTTTGCTTTAAAAAAAAAGAAAAGTATTAAAAAAAAGAGATCATAGTTTTTCTTTAAAGATATATTTACGAGAGTAACATAATCACCAAAACCAATCGTTGTCAATGTTATAAAACCATAATAAAAAGAATCAAAAAATGACCAATTTTCAAATTTAGAAAAAACACATGCACCAATTAGAAGTATGACAATAGTTAAAAATGATTCCATAATAAGTAATTCTCCATCAGTTATTTTCGTTTTTTTCATACGAAGTGATTGTTTGATTTTTGAAAGTATATAACTTAATAAAGAATTTAATCTTTCACCTGCTGATTGAAATGTAATTAACCACATGGGTATACCTAACATTGCATATAAAATACAAAATATTTTTGCACGTTTTGTTATTAATGTTCGATGACCATAACCAATTAGAGCCAAAACAACAGTTGAAAAATAGAAACTATCATAAAATTGCCATTTATGACGAAGAATGGTTTTATTCACAATTAAATCTGCTAATTGACGAAATGTTTCATTGGTCATATTGTGATCAAGTCTAAATTGAGCAAATTTCCGTTCAAAATGACGCTTTCTACAAATAAAATTAATGACAATCAATATTTTCTGCTTCATAGAACGAATTACCGATCTATTGATGGTGCATCTTCTAGTGCATCGAATACACATGCTCCAATAATTAAATATGTAAATGTACAAACGATGAGTGCGGCTGTGCGAATATTTTTCTTTTGTACTTGAAATGGATCATTTATATCTTCTGGTGTAAATGGTTTTTGATCAACAGGTAAATTTGGTGGTTTTGTTAATACAAGTGTTCGATTATAATTCAGATCAGTTTTTAAACTCATCACTAAAAAGAACTAGATAAAAAAATAGCGAATTGACAAATAATCTTTCCTATTCTTTCTCAAAAGTAAATAGCCTACTCTAATTGTAAAATTATTTGTTTGATTCTAAATAATGATCAATGGTTTTACTAAACTATGTCCGTATCTTTTTCTATTCAATGTTTCTGTTCTTTTAGCGTTGACAGGTAGATAATAATAGCTGTTAGCTCAATCTTTTACTTTTATTAGATGTGTCCTACGTGTATATGCTTTCCGATAAGAAACGGAAATGAATCGGATGACGTTTTCTTCGGCACTATTGTCGACACCATTTTAGAGTGGTGCGTTGTCGTTTACAAAACATCAAAAAAAAAAGAGAACATATGTAATCATAAATAACGACAAAAAAGTGGCACATGTGTTCTCATATCATTGAATAAGAAAGAATTAATAAGATAATTAATAGTTGTATTTAGATGATGTGATGTATATTCGAAATTTTCAATACTTACTAAATATATTGTCTAATTAGTTCAACAAAGAACAAACATGTCTCTGTCTATTCATGGCATCAAACTGCGAGCGAGAAGACTTCTTTTTGTGTTAATCAAAAAGACAGAACTGATGATGATGATGATGATGATCAAAAGCAAAAGGGAAAAGAAAAAAAAACTCTCGGTTGACTGGAAGATAGCGATAACGGAGGATAGAAATTAGACTAATCAGCGTCTATCGATGGATAATCAATTGAGCTAACAAATGATAAAAAAACCAAATAAATGATGTTAGCAGATGCTTTCATAAAAATGAACATATTTAATTATATGACATTTTGTTTTCTTTATTCTTAGCTATCTTATCGTCTTCTAACTTTGTCATTCAGTAAAGAAAGACGAAGACATGACATTGGAAAAACTGTTAATGATCATGATTACATACTCATTTACTTTTCTTATGGTTTAGGTTATTTAGCTATAGATTAACTAAATGTATTAGTTTTCATCATTAATGCATGTTTTCTTTTTCTCCATGATTCGATACGCTTGACATAGAGAATACGTGTATAGTATAGAGCGAACTATCTACTTATTGGCATAACGCAATAGATAAACAAATTCTGTGTCTTTAGGGCAATAATAACAATATTTTAAAGAGATTTATTTTTCTTCTCGTACTTCTTCACCGATGGAAACATCATCATCAACAACAACAATAACAATGTTTTTCTTGATCCTGAAGAATCATTTAAGAAAATGATTAAAAATAAATCAAGAGAACGAGTATTTCTGTTGTAATCCTAAAAGAAAAATTTGTATGTGAATCATTTCTAATAATAAGAAAGCGATTTCCTTAAATTGAAAGACAAAATCTTTATTTATTCGTTGATAATAAAAATAGTAGTATGCAGAAGAATAATAAGATGACATGTAAATTAATTTAGACATTCAGTAATATTTGTTTTCTGACGCATCAAATTTCTTTTTCTTTGTTCTGTATGATAATCGAAATTAAAATATGCATCCTCTTAAGTTTCACATAAATTAATTATTGACATTTACATTTCGATCTATTTCTAGAAACGTTCAAATATTTGCAAGAACTATTGACTGCAATTATTGATCGTCTAGTTATTTATGTATCTATAGAAATAATAAAGTGACAAATCTTATATGAAAATGGCAGTTGTATTAATTAATTATATATTTTGATTTTGATTATTTGAATATATTTGATAATCTATTTAAGTATATGAATAGACATACAATTATAAATTATTATTTTATACAACAAAATATTGTTTTTTCATTAGATATAAGTATTGAGTCAAAAGAAAAATGTATATTAGGAGTTCGAAGTATCGATTCAATATTTGTCAATAATATAGAATGATGCATAGTGTCTGCGTTTTATCTCCTTTGTATTCAATTGATAATAATGTCATTAGTACATAAAATGTTGAGCTTTGCTACGATTTAATTGTTTCTCATAAAGTGTTTAGAACTTTTAAAAATATGTAATTAAATGCTCGTTTATTAATCACGTTGTCTGTATTATATTTAGTATAGTTTGAATCACTGTTAGAAAGATGATCTTCTGGCAAAAAGTATAATAAGCATGAAAGAAAGATTAGACTAAGGATTTCATGTAAGTAAAAAAAATCGTATCATTATTATTTTTATACTGATTGACTCGTACATTTTCTTTTTTTATCTAGATTTCCAAAAGACGGTATTGTTCATTTGAAATACATTTTAACTGTAGAATAATTTTTTAATAATTAAAATAAGAGGCGTTTTTTTATTACGTGTTCTCAACAAAATCTAATTATCATTTGAAGTTTCATATTCAAATTAATCTGTTCGAGTTTCGAGTATTTAAGATGATGTTTTATATGACATTTTCTCCAATATCAATATAACATATATAATAATTATAATCTTAAAATAGTTTATTCGGTATACATATATAATAAAATCGATGGCATAAGTAATAATTCCTGACATTAAATTAAAAAGCAATCTATATCAGTTCTTCACTTGATAAAGTTTGTCTAGTCACACTAATCAGATCAAATTTGAATTATTTGTCATTGTTTTTTGGTGCGAAAAAGATCGATTCAATCTTGTGGTTTATTATTCTAATGATATAACAATGTTTTTTTTCTCTTTCTTCTTTATTAACTTTCCATATTTAGTTAAAGTACTAATCAGATATATATATACGACATAAAATCGTTATAGATCCAATCTGTTTGTCATATTATCTCTCAAAAGTAGATTAAATATAATAAACTATAATCAATGGTACTAATGACAGTATGATACATCTTCTCTTATGGAAATAGTCTTTAAGATTAGCAAAAATTCGATATTTCATCGAAAATTGAAATCTAAAAATACAACTACAATTCAAAAGAGGCAAAGTAAATAAACAAATAATACAAAATTTTTCTTTTTTCTTGCATACAGCTTCAATAATATAACAATCTTCTCGTGTCTACCAATCCTCGAATTGTTTGACTATTACGTGAAACTTTTTTTTTTACTCACATAGCAAGATGATTCATTGTATATATTAATTCAGAGAAAAAGAAAACGAGTATACTATTCGTAGACATTACTTTCAATGGTAAAAGAAAATATAGCAAATAAACACAAATCTTTGCTTACAACCATTTTCTTATTTTTGAAGTTACCTAGGTAACTGTTATTTTTTTACTCTCCTTTTTATCGATAGACTTGATAAAGAGTGTCATTTGAAAAAAAAACCTTACCCAAGTTCTATAGTATTTGCATGGCAAAACATTCACGTTTTACAGATGATATTTGGTTTACACCAGCTCCAAGTGCAGCTCAAATTCCTGTTCGAACTATAGATGATTTACGTAATGAAATCTTTGTTTCTAATAAATATGAATCACTCAAACAAGGTTTATATACAGCTGAGGAAATGAAATCAAAAGATTTATATGAAAATTATGCACCAAATTTTAAAGATAAAAATAAACAATTTATTTATAAATATATTAATGAAATACGACATTATTCACCATCACCAGATAGATATTTATTAATAACAAGATGGAGACCATTTATGCCTGATGTATTACCAGATAGTTTAACACGTCCATCGACTAGAATTCGATTTCAATCTGATGTTTTTAATTATCAATCATGTGGTGATAATCAAACAGTAGAATGGTATTTAAATTTTGCAAATCATGATCTATTTGCTTACTATGGTGGACCATTATTAGCACAAGATGAATTACAAGTATTAGAATGTGTTGAATTAGCAGCATTAAGAGAATATTTTGTTCAAACAATAAATACAGTGGGATCATCTACAGTTAGTTCTAATCGAAATAAAACTTTACCAACACCTAGTAAATTATTATTTATTAATTTAATTCTCTTATTATTTTATTCTTTCAGTTTTAATAAGTAATACTGAACGAGTAATTCAAATGGATACTAGTAAAGTTTATGGAAATGCTTTTGCTAAAGCAAGTGAAAGACAACTTATTCAAGCATGTAAATACCTTGACAGTTCTCAAAAAGTTAATTTAATAGCTATTGAAGCACCAAGTCATGGTCGTGGTAGTTATACTCGTGATCAAATTGATTATATTCTTCTTACTTGTTATGTTGGATTTAAAGCAGCACAAATACTTGCTAATAAAACTCATGCATTAAATACATCAAATCAACGTTCGTCTAGTCGAAGCGAAAATAAACATTTTCGTACAATAATTCATACGGGATGGTGGGGTTGTGGTGCTTATGGAAACAATCGACGAATGATGATTTTAACACAGATTCTTGCAGCATATTGGACTGAAATTGATGAACTTATTTTTCATACACAATCAAATGACTATCAAGGAGATATAGATGCGGCTCAAGAAATTGCTCATCAATTATTGAAAGAAAAACGTGTTGATGATGTTATTAATCAAATTGTCAAATTAAATTTACAATGGGAAAAATCAAATGATACATAAATGATTGAAAACATGTCCTTCTCTTTTTTTTATTCTAATCATGAGAAATTTTTCAATTTAGAAATTGTGATTTAATGATAAAATAAATTTTCTATTACTATTATCTCAACTTTAGATTGATTCCGAAACATTTAAAATTATTTTATAAATGTTTAATTTTTTTTTATTCGATGAAAAATTTTTCTACTGTAATAGTTATAGATAAGATATGAAAAAAAACAATCTCAAACTTTGTTTTTACAATAATCTAACCACGAGACACAAAAAGTGAATAGTATAGTAGATATTAAAATCCTTATCATTCCTTATAATCTTATTTATTGGATAAGAATATAATAAAAATTAGTTTTTAAATACATTATAAAATAAAATAATTCTGTTTTTTATAAAAATATTAATGATTTGTAAAGTTTCAAATATGAATTTAATCTTATTCGAAGATAACTATTTTTTTTTCTAATTCATTTAAAAGAAGGTGTTATATATGAATACGATTAACAAATCATGACTGATGTATGAGTATAATTTTAATAGTTCTTTGGTTCTCTAGTGAAATAATACTTTTCTGTTTTGTTTTTGATAAAAATTAGTTCCCTGTAGCTATGAATGCATTAGAATATCTAGTGCTCGATTATAAATAGATAAAGAGATGGTCAAATGCATAAATATGCTCCATCATTACTTTCAAAATTATATATCGACATATGAAGTTAATTTTTGAAAATAACAGGAACTTTGTTTTGTATGGCATGTATTTGATATGAAAGTCGCAATTGTGACGTATTTGATAAGCTTCACCTGAAGCCTTTTTAACAGCCACGTCATAGTTTTTAATTTAATTTTCTAACGACGTATTATAAGATAGATTTTGTGCTTTTTCCGCTTAGACTATGTTCTTTTACCATTAAGGTATTTAATATTTTACCTAATAGACTAAAGGCTGCTTTTTTAAAATCATTTATTATATAAAAAAAGAGATATTAGCGTCAGTACATTTTCTATTATCAGTTAAAATATCATGTCATCATCTTCTGTTTCATATTTTATAAATCTTTCACATGTAGTTACGATTTATTTCGGCTTGACTATTCTAGTAGCTGGTGTTGTTGGTGGACTTTTAAATCTTACTGTATTTTTAAGTCTTCGAACATTTCGACAAAATTCATGTGCATTTTATTTAACAATTATGTCATTTGCTAATATAATTCATTTAATGACTGGTTTAACTAGTCATATTGTAATTAATGGTTATGGAATTGATTGGGGAGGTTATTCAATAGTTTATTGTAAAGCTCGATTATACTGTATTCAATTATCGATATTGATGTCATTTACAAGTATATGCTTGGCAATCATTGATCAATTTCTAGCAACTTGTCATAATCCATTTTATCATCGATGGAGTAATATTAAACTAGCTCGTTATATCATAATAGGTTTTCTTTTATTTTGGTTACTTCATGGAATACCATTTGCACTTTATTTCAATGTAGTTATGTCACTAATTAATATAAATCAATTGACATGTGCTATCACGAATGTAACCTTTCAAAAATATTTTAATTTTGGTTTTGTACTTGTCTTAATCGGTATATTACCATTGACCATAATGACTCTATTTGCTTTATTAGCTTATACTAATGTTCAAACTTTAGGTTACCGAACAATTCCGTTAGTTCGTCGTGAATTAGATAAACAGTTAACACATATGGTACTTGTTCAAGCCATTTATAGTTTCTGTATTTTATTACAATATGTAATTACTACCGTAGTATTGTATTATATATCTCCTACCGATCGAACAAACTTTATATCAGTTTTATCTGTTACTATACACAATTGTTATTTTGCAGTAAGTAATGAAATATTCTCTATGACATATCATTTAAAAATTTTTATTTTTGTTTTGAAGGGTGCATTTTATATTTATATGTGTGTATCAAAACGATTTCGTCAACAATTCAA